TTCATCGGAACTTCAGAGTGGAGTTCATTGATGATCCACAGTTAAACAGTCCCAGAATCTCTGGCTATCAGTCGCTGCAGTATCCTCTACAATACTTTTCGGTTGCATCTACAACCCTCCGAAAGCGACAGCCAAAGATATCGCAATTATCTCCTCGGTTTCTGATTTCGCATCGGTGTTACCACACGGTCTAAAGATAATCCCCGGCAATTTCAATCTACCGAATATTACTTGGTCACCACAAACATCCTCTTCACTGCACAGGTCTTTCTTATCGACTATCAGAGTTGGGGGATTGACTCAGTGGGTTACCAGACCAACTAAATCTGCCAACATACTGGATTTAATCTTCATCCTGGGGATTCCTGACGCACAAATTGACATCTTGGACAACCTTCCGGGTAGTGACCACAGCATGCTACGCCTTTACATCCACTTGGAAATGGATACCAAACTCGACTCACCTACCCAGCATACTATATGAAGGATTGACTGGGAGCATTTCGGAAAGCAGATACGGTCCTCTAATTGGGATGGTTTTTTCTCTCCACTGGCGTCCACATTGCAGTGGAACATTTCTACTACCAGATCAATCGCATCCTAATTGTGCATGTCCCACATTATAAATGAGCCATTCCTTGTCTTAAGAACGTTAGCGACACTCCGAGTGACTTGAAAAATGAGAAAACGACTCTGGAAATTCAGAAAAGATTGAGGCTTCTCACTAGTATTACAGCTGCATAAGTCCACCGCCTGCATCAAGCGCTCACAAATGAAACGGATTGAAAAGGAAGAGGAGAACGCCTTGCAGATGGCATGCAAAGGAAAGGAACTAAGCGAATTACTCCGTCGTAGGACTAATAATCGAATGTCTTTGATTAAAGAACTTATTGATGAGGGAGGATCGCCACCTTAACGACTCACCTGCTAGTTATGAAGTGTTTAGCACTTTTTTCGCTGCTTCCATGAACGTAGAAACCGACCCTATGCCTTGCTGTCCGGAATTTACAACAAGCGGCATAGATAATGTCTAGGTTTATCTTTCGACCATTCAACAGGCTATGAAGTCCATCAAACCATCGCTCAAACCAAACTCCGATGGCACCCCATCAGTTATAAAACCTGGTGGACCTGACATACCGCTGCTTTTGCTGAACATGTTCACATTGTCGGTGGAAAACATCTATTGTCCCTCATCATAAAGGGGGGTCCAAACAGCAGTTCACTGATTATCGACTTTTTCATCATACTCCCGTCATCGCTAGATTACTCTAAAAATTAGTTAAAAGTGGAATCATGGAGTTTATCCATCGTCATGGGATACTTAACAAATCCCAGTATGGGTTCCTCGACAAATGTTCCTGTACAACGTGTCAGTTGCACTACCTTGATTACATCACAGATGCCATTGATTCGAAATATGCAGTTATAATACTGTTCCTGGATATGCCGAAAGCATTCGACAGAGTTGTATGCCATCGGGCGCCTCCCCAGGTTGTGGATCGGGGAATGCCTTCCTTGTGGAGGTAACTGCGAACAAGTCACATTTGCTTTGTAGGCGAGATGAACAAGCAGTCGCGGACAATCAGCGGCAGCGTCTCAGAGGGTGGGGAGTTCTGGGCTGGTCACCTAGTTTGCCAGTAAATACCACAAGTGCTCGTACGGCGCTGTGTCAAAGCCAATGTGACCGGCTGTAGAGTCACTGACCACTCACTCCTGCAACTGGGGTGAGTATCTAACAGAGGGCGGATGAACAACCTCGCTGGCCACCGGCTTCTCTGTGGACTGTTTCCGAACACAAAGAAGGCGAAGGAGCCACTTGGCCGTCAACGGTCTTCGTGAATCATCCCGCTGCCTTGCGGGTCAGGTCTTTAGACCAAAGGCTCGGGGTGGGGTCCCTTAAGTCAACCCTCTTCCTCGGTCTGGGCAACCGGGAAGCTTAATGCCCACACAACACATGGAACTTTGCTTCCATTCCTCTTACTCACTCTCACTTTGTTGTTATTGTCACTCATGTGTTGTGGCACTCTGCCAAATGTTTATTAGTTAACTGTTAAATACATATAATACATTTGACAGAGTGCCCCACAAGCGGCTACTGAAAAGAATCGAGTCATTTGGAATCAGAAACCCACTATTTGGTTGGTTGACATCATACCTAAATGGGCGTTACTAGATAGTCACTCTGGGTAATCATAACTCCTCCCAACGTCCAATCACTAGTGGTGTCATCTAAGGGAGGGTAGTTGGTCCTTCACTTTCCCTACTTTATATTAACTATATCACGGTGTTCATAATACATGGCCGGCCATTTTTGCTCGTCGATAACATAAAGATCGTTTATAAATTTCGACGTGACGAACTCAATGGTACAATGCTATTCGTTCAAGAAGACTTCGATTCACTTGAGAAATGGTGCAACACATGGATGCTAAATTTCGCAGCTAGTAAATCATGCATTATGTCACATAGATGTTTAATCCCTGAAGGGTATGTTAAACTGAACAATGAACTTATCTGTGTGAAACTATCCAACTGTGATCTAGGCAGACGATACTCTTCAAACTTTAATTTCTCAGAGCAAGCTGAGTATCAGATAGCACGTGCCAAACGACCTATGGCTAACATATGCCATAGAATCTATACAATCCCTGCCAGACTCGAGCATTTCAAAATACTTACACTTCCTCTCCTTGAATACTGCGGCATCATCTATGGGAACATGCGAATAGGTGACAGGAAAGATTTGGAAAACCTGCAAAGATCATTCACCGAGCGCTTGTTCAGTAAATCAACCACCTTGAGTTATCAGGTACGCTGCCAGCAGCTTAAGCTTGAACCCCTTTGGTTACGACGACCGAAACATAACCTGATGCTGATACACAATCTCATAAACCAAAGACATATTTCAATCTGTGTACACTTAAAATTCAACATAACTTCACTCGGAATATACGCACCAAGACCTATACATTATGTGTGCCGGTAACCAGGACAGCTATCCGACCAAACTTCTTCCTCGTCAGATACGCTGTCCTATGGAATAGACTACCAGCCACAATCAGGTCTTGCACAAATGCAAGAACATTCCATATTCAGCAAATTCCTTGACCAGAAATCGATAATGACCATGTTTTCATCGGGTAAATCACCACACGAGTTCTTTCAGGATGGACTTAGGAACATATAGGCAACGATTAAAGATGGTACAAAGAATTTAGCAACAACAAAATTTACGTGATTCCCCATTATTTTGATATCATACACCCCTTGTTACATGTCTCACTCATGTATAAGCATGATAATTATTATACCCATGATCTGTCCACAATCCAGGGACAGTTTCTCGTACAATCGAGAAATATACACATTGCTACTACTACTACTACTACTACTACTACTACTACTACTACTACTACTACTGCTACTACTACTACTACGACTACTACTACTACTACTACTACCACTGCTACTACTACTACTAATGCTACTACTGCTACTACTATATGTCGAAGACAAGCTATTATGGAATCAAGGGGAAGAGCCAATTATTGGGGGTGCAACAAAGGTGGGATAAAATGGAAGTTGGAAAGGGACAATGAGGAAAAGATAGCGTGAGTGGGAAAAGCAACCTGGAAGGTCTGAGCAATAACAGCCTCAGCACAACCCACCCAGCTCAACGCAACGACTTAGGCGCCGTCGATTGTCCTCTCTGACGGGCAGAGCATCAAGAAACTGTGTGAAAAGAAGTTCATTGTATTGCGTGTACAGGATACTGTCAGGTTGCCCATGCACAGGCGGGAGAACAATTAGGGTACTCAATCAAAACCATTGGTTCAAAAACATGGCCACACAACAGCGGGAATTTGACACTGAGCTACGCCGAGTCCGTTTTATAAAGCAAGAAGCCACTCTCATTCCGGGTCCTAAGACTGAGAGCCAGGAGAGTGAACTTGTCCGGCCTCCAACTATTGACCAATGTGGTATGAGTGGCTCTGAAGGTGCAAAAATCACCACCCAGCTTAGCTCAATGGATAGTTGAGACACACAAACCATCGCACCAAGTCATGCTAGTGCATATTTGAGATTATTACACGTTGTACTACTTTTTACTGAGTTGTGCTGAAGACGTTGTAAAGTTAAAGTGTTATTAGTAAAGCAATTTTCCGTTCAATAAACGGTTCTAGTCAGTTGGGAAACTTACCACACTTTATTATATACTTTGAGATATTCGTTCCTGGTCACTTTGCATACATGGGTGTTGTCAAGTACTGCGGTGTTTGACGAGCTTGGTGAACACATTAACAACTCGAGTGCTCGATCTGTATAATTATTTCGAAATGTACATGACCTTGTGTGACTTGATACAACTCCTTATAGACTAACCATAGCTCAAACTGTAGAAGTATATGGTTTATATGCCTATCAATCGTCTTTGTGAAGAACGTCGGTGATTCATTTACATTAAATACCAATAGCCAGTGTTGCACTATTCATGTTCCTTTACACACTGCAAACACTGCTAGGTGTCACCATTAGACGCTGAATAATACCAACCTATATTTATTGTAACATATTTGATAAGGTTTGTCTCTGCGACGAACGATGGAAACCCAGGATTAATTTCAACCTGATGTTTTTGATAGAGACTACCTAATTTGAAAAGGCTTTATAATTAGTAACCCACCAACAATCACACGGAAGCTTTCTGCGCTGGCCACGGAAACCTTCTACCAAACAGTGTCCCACTAACTCTTATTGGCGTACATCTAGGATGTATTTTGTAGCAGGTTTCGGGCATCATAAAGTGATATATCTTGAAAATTACTTTCGTACCCTTTTGCAAGTTTAACCTTGAACAGTAATAACTTACCGACCTCCAGTTGCTACGTAAATAGAGCGCGCAAAATGCAGACGATTCGAATCCTTGCACCCGAATAAGACATAAATGAGTGAAGACCTCAGAAGTAGCACTTGCTGGTGAAGAGATTTAACGGATCTCATGCACAACTTTCCCCCAGTGAACGACCAAATGGCCCCTTGTTGCTAGGTACAGAAGGAGGAAACGGCAGTGTTAGACATAACGACACACATAGTGAATTATTGATAAATCAGCTTATAGACATCCGGTAATATTAGCGGAACGCGGATATCGACAACTGCATGATTACTCGATAACGTCACTCTACCTAAGCAAAACAGGCCATTCAACACGGTAAGCACTTAGTTCAAACCTAGATTGATATCACAGCTGACGAACTATGAGACAGGTGTCCCCTATAGGGTTTTGCGATGGAGTTCGGCCGCGTAATTACATTGTACGCAATATTGACCTAAGAGCCGACGGTGTTGAATATAGAAGAAATAACATAGTGAGTTGCGTCAGCGTGGAGCTGCACAGCGAGGTATAATCAACCGGTCTACTCTGAAAGCAAGATGCCAAGTTTTCAGAGAAATCCTCACAAAAATAGGTCATCATCATCATCATCATCATCAACAGCAGTACATCAGCCATTTGAACGGATGCTTCGCTGCTATACAACCATGAGGACCTCTGAAATAAAGAATAAGAAGAAAGAGAGAAGAGGGACTTACCTGAAAAACCTTAATGCCCTAAGCAAACATTCAGGGTCAAGGCGCCTACACCTTGTGTAGACAACATACCGTCACAAACAGCTGGCTATCGTGCAAAGATAAGGCGGCATCGGCGATACAGCTTCCTTCCGGCTTTCACTGCCACGCGTCATAATCAGTCATTACCCCGCAGATAACTCAGCACCAAACACACCTTAAACAGGCAATCCGATTAGGAGACGGCAGCAGACGCGCCACTGGTGTCGATTGCGAGTCATGTCCTGTAAAGTCTCGAGCCAAGCACCACGCGAGTCACGTGGATTCCTCCCGGAAGGCGAAACGGACCCACGGCACCCAGTTTGGTCTTCAGTGATTTCATTTCCCGCTGCCAAGTCAACTTCTGTCCACTTAGAGCCTTGCGCCATCCTACACCTGGCAGACAAAACTAGACCCTAGTAGGTAAGTGGTGACCAGGCATACGTAGCACGTGCCCGAGCCAACGCAACTTATTCAGTGCCATCTGTTGTTCTAGGGAGGTAACATGATTATCACCACCTAGTACTCGTCTACGCACATTATCGTTGCGGACACGCTGGTCCCATCCGACTCCAGTAATGCTTCGCAGACAACGATGATCAGAGACTTGAAGGCGCCTCAGATCTTCAGACCTAAGGGCCAGGTCTCACTCCCATACAGCAGAACGGCCCTCACTGTGGTTTTGTATACACGGACTTTCAGATGAAGGGAAATTCATTTCTGTCGACAAAGATGCCGCAGATTCAAGAAGGTAGCTCTGGCTTTTGCAATGCGTGAGCTGACGTCAGTTTCTATGCGCCCCACCACAAAAATACTTATAAATACATCGATCAGACTACATAGTTGGACGGCGCCTCGAATCGCCGAGGAATATACCACTTATTTATTTATGTATTTATTTAACAAATACACATGAGTAGATGGCTACCAGCCTAATCAGTTATAGGGACGCTTCGTCAGAATGCAATCCTTAAAAACATCAAGGAGTTAAACTGCAGCTGGATTAACGAGCAGTAGAGACAAGTACGAGTGGGATACATACACCACATAAGAGTCACAGTGGCTCGCCGAACAACCTCACCGTGGTGTCAACAGAGTGGTTCGTGTATATTCCGTTCCAGCAAATATTTCGACCACACTGCTTGGGGACATTGTAGGCTTTCTTCTAGCAAACGTTCTCCCCATAAAAAGACATGAATGTGTGTACATGAATGTGTATCAGATGTGCTTTAGCACTAAATAAAGTCAGTGTCTCTTGCTTAGCTGGATAATCATATCCAATCCACGGACGTTAGTTCGCCACCTCGAGGATTTCCTTCGTTCCCCTCCCACACTGATGACTTGACCGAGCACAGTCAGAAGTGCAACGGTACATTTATAAATTCAAGGCCTAGATAAGAGAACGATTAGGATTCCCAACCAAAGCTTATGGTACAAAAATCCGATGAGAAGACAGCGGGTTGAACACTGGGTAACACAGAGTCTGCTTTAAGAGATTTGAAGTCACTCCCACGCCAACACCCAACTTTGATGAATGGGAGGCCTAGTTTTTCCTATCTCTAACCATTGATCAATCTAGTATTAGTGAAGATGGAAGAATCACCACTCAGGATTGATCTATGGACCACTGAGACACGCGAACTATCGCAACACGGTTAAGTCCAACCTTATTGCATTGGATGGTGGAGATACACTTCAATGCAAATCGCGTTCCGCATTGAGATTGCGCGTCTCAATCCAATACCGCAGCAAATGCTTTGAAGTGACCCCACCTAGTCACTAAGCGTTGTGACCAGCGGTGCAGGTTTAGGTATAGTCTCCCGTTGAAAGCTCAAAGATTTAAGGTTCGCTTCACAGTCCTGCTAACTCTACCTGATGAGGGAACGAATGCTTAAGTAACCGGTTGTGGAGTATGATCTCCATCGCACTGAGGCTGGATCTTAATGTGGTGCGATGGTTTGCGTGCTTCAGAGATCCAGTGAGCTATGCTGGGTGGTGCTTTTACACCTTCAAAGCCACTTATACCAGATTAGTCAGTGGTTAGAGACAAGACAAACTCAGTCTCCTGGTCCTCCAGGTTTGTGGTTATAGTAAGAATGGCTCCTTATTCCTCTAAACGGACTCCTTGCGGCCCACTGCCAAACCTGTTGCCTTGCGGTAAGGTTTTTGAACCAAAGGCTTTGGTTGAGAACCTTACTCGTTCTCCTGTCTAGGCCTGGGCAACCTGACAGTATCCTGCCCACGCAATACTATGGACCTTTCCTTAAAGGAGTCCTTCATGTTTTGTCCGTCGCATAGGATAATAAACGGCGCCCTCTCTGCTGCATCGAGCAGGGTAGATAGGGGTTTGGATGCAAGTGCTCAAGCCCTCCCGTTTTCTTATTACCCTTCTTATGCTTTTTCATCCTTATCGTTCAGTTCCAACTTCACTTTTATCCCGCCGGTTTTCAACCCCCTTCCTTGGCCCACCTCCACCTTGTATTGATAGACTTTAGTCTCTAGTTTCAAATCACATGGAAACGCAGAGCGTCATTCTTGCACTGCCGACCAGCCTATGTGCAACCAAGCGGTCCACTCCAGTTCATCGGCTTCGATTTGGAGCTCTTCATTCTCCTTCAGATTGGCATACCTCAATGTACGCACATTGCTACAGATCGGTCAACAGGCAGCACTTGCACGAACATTAGGGATCCTATCGATCGATATCTGCTGCACATCGAGGACCCGCCTGCAAGACTCGAGCTCTGTGCTCACTTTGTGATCACCTCTAGGTGACACCAGCAGTAGTTTCTCATTGCGCCTATCCGGTGACGATGCAGCTTCGAGTACCGGCCAAACCGGTGTTGGTATTGCCCCTAATCCCTGGGCTGAAGCTGCACTGGTTGACTGGATCCTAATCAGTAGCCGGATGTCTGCGGTCCGATTGGCTGGCTCGTTCAAAGCTTTGAAATCGGGCGGGACTAATAGATGTATTCGACACTGCTGCCTACGCGCTCACAAACTGTAGTAAAAGACGACTTCTACCCACAAATGAAGGAGCTGCATCGCCACAGAGGAAGCATGGACACTGTTGTGCTGGCTGGAGATCTGAACGCTCAAGTTGGAAAATTGTCCAATTAGGTACTCCATCTGGGCGGCCAACACGCTGCGGGCTCTCATACTAATAGCGGCGAGTGGTTACTCCATTTGTTTGAAGATACCCGCTTCTTTCTTGTGAGCATTAACTTCCGACACAGCATCTGCCGGAGAGTGACATGGCGCCCACCAGCCTTGGACACAAATCCATCACATTGCGATCGGTTTCTGCTGGAGAGGCTGCGTCCAGAACTGTCTCTCGATTTGAAACACATGTGTGGACACTGACCATGCACTTGTAGTGCTGATCTGCAGATGCGTTTCGGCGGATGCTCACAACGAATCTCTGAGCATATTGACACTAGCCAACTGGCGAAGCGAGCGGTTCTGAATGCGCATCGAAGTACGCTGACTTGCGGGCTGAGTAAGCGCTCAGTGAATACAATTGATGGTCACTGGCCGCATGTTCGCCAGACCTTACTAGCAACAGGCAAATCCCCCTGTGGTAAGTCTAATAGCCAACATGGACATTGGGTCACTTCGCCGTCTCTGGAACTTATCGATGCTCGCCGGCATATTCCGGCTGGAAGCTAACACAAGGAGACTCGCAAAACTCTCCGGCCAGAACTCCGTGTTAGCCTGAAGACAGGCCGCGAATCTTGGTGGTCTCATGATGCGTCAGAGATGGAAGTGGCCCCCTGTCCTTGGTAACCATCAAAAGTTATTACGTCTGATACGGGAAACGGTCAGCCGAAGACCTGGTGTTAGTAAAAGTATACGTGACGAGAGTGGACAGGCATAACTTGTCAAAACGCTTAGAGCGTTGGGCTGAGCAATTTGAAATGCAACTTAATCGGCCGCAATTGTCAGATTTCTTGCCTGCCACTGATCGCCCTGTTCCATGGGCTATTACCTTGGATCCGCGCTCTCCCTCAGAAGTCGAAGGTGAGATCAGACTGCTGAAGTTGAGTAAAGACACGGGATAGATGAGGTTCCTCCAGCCCACTACAAATTTGAGGGGACCTGCTCTTGTGGATGATTTACACGAGTTACTAGTGAAGCTCTGAGAGCATGAAACTGTCCAGACAGACTGGAGCCACTCCGTTAAACTCCTAATTTTCAAGGGAGGCTGACGTTTGGAATGCGGTAACGATAGAGGAATCAGTTTGATCTCCGTCGTTTCCAAATTTCTTCCTTCTGTCATCTTTGATAGACTGATTGGGACTCGTGAAAGTCAGATTCGTAAAGAGCAAGCTGGGTTTCGTCGTCGTGGCTGCATCGACCACATATTCACTGTGCGTCAGCTGTTGGAGCACCGTCACATATATTGGTGGCCCAACCTTGTCATGTTCTTCTATATC